GAAATATCTTCGTATGAAAAGACTTCTGATAGCAGCACTTAACCTAGCAGAGGAAGGTATTACAAGAGTCAGAGAAGGGGGTTGAATTAGACAAATCTCAGCTATCTGAAGGACTTGTTCCTAGCAGTTACACCTGTATGTCTTGCCGTGAAATGCCCTGGATCCAAGGTTACTTTCTGACAAGCTGCTGTAACCCAAGCAAGCTTCAGAGGTTAGTGCCCTGGGGTGAAATGTTCTGGCGTGTCGTCCGCCAGGAGTGAAACTGTAGGTTCATAATGAGTCATCTTAAAATTGAAATTGATAAGTTGAATACAGACTGATTAAAAATACTGCTTTTCTTGCACATGTTCTCTGTATGGATGGTGACAGTGAACTTTTTCTGCCGGCAAAATCTTCCACGCATGGGTTGTGTTTTTTTTTTTTTTTTTTTTTTTTTTAGACAACTAATGTAGCTTAGACATTCCATACGAGCAAGTATCTTATGTCAATTCCATCTGCAAACAAATGCGGCAAATACATATATTTTTTACTTTTTAATTCTGCTTTGTGGTGCATACCATACCAACCAGGGAGCATCCATGTTGGGAGGTCTCCGTGGATTCTTCACCTCTGTTGATCCCCTGCTGTCTGCACATACGGGGTCTTTGCAGAAGTGAGCTGAGACCTGGGCACTCTATTCCTCGGTTTTCTCTTCTGTAAGAAGAGGCTTATCCAAGCTTTTGGAATAACTGGTGGGAGCTGGCAACAATGTTGGTATAGGTCTTCAGATTTCTTCTACTAGGACTCTGGCATAAGTTGCCTGTCCCTTTGCCGGGGCTGTTTTCTGTCTCCATTAAACTCTTCCCTGCTCTCTCGATGCAGTTCTTAATTTCAGTTACTGCAGCCCAGCATACCTGGAGTGGGACAGGACTGAGTACGCCCCTCCACCTCGCTTGCTGAAGGCTTGGCTTGGGGCCCATTTCTGGAATGATTCCTGTCAGAGTTGCATTTCAGTAATGCTGAAGTTTGTCAGGGCGAATGTTGGTTACAGTAAATGAAGGGGATAAGCGGTCAGTTTACATGGTCCTGCCTCTCCCCTTCATTGTTATCACCCCCTCAGGGACTGCCAGGACAACTCCCGCCATTTTGTTCCTGCTTTTATCACAGTAGAGGTTTCCTACCAAGACTGAAATGTATCTTCACCATCACTTACATTGCTGCAAGGATTATAGCTGCTTTAATAAAATGAAGGCAGGACTTTAGATTTATTCTCATTCTGCTACATATTACACCGTTGTTGAAATGCTACAGGGTTTTTTTTCATAGGGTGAACATCCAGCAAGGCCATGCTGTGCCCTCATGGATGACAGCCTACATCGGAACAGTGACTTACCTCAGCTGGTGGTGGACAACCTTGGAGCACTGGTGACTTAATGAAACCTCTCCCGTAATTTTGGTCCTCTGGCACATCAGCCAGGCCCTCCACAGGATCCTGACGTGAGTTTTGGCTTGCTGATAACTAGAGTCACTGTGAATCTCTTTGTATTGTTTTCTTTCTGTTGGGTGTCGCCATGTTTAAAATACTTATTTTTGAACGGATTATTGTTTGAAGTTTACTAAAATACACGCTGCCAGCTGGAAGGGTGGAGTGGTGTTATTTTCATGATTGGTCACTTAATTTCCTATTTTACAACGAAGGTAATATTTTAGAGCACCTACAAACAGGGAACCTTGTGTCAGCTAGGCTTTCAGACTCTTGTGATTCACTTCATTCATGGGCTGCTAAACAGACACTTGCTGATGTTTCCTGCTCGTGGTGCACATTCAGTTAGCAAAACTTCAGGATTTCTTTGGTATCAGAATGTCTGCTTATAAATGTGTCTGATGTTTAGGGGCACACCTTGGGGAAATACATGGAAATCCTGAAGCAGAAAACAGAGCATGAATGTTGAACCTGAAAAGGGTGGGAAACAGATGCTTTTATTTCTGTAGAAGTGTAATGATTTTACTTGTAGCTTGCACATAATTAGGTACACTGAGATTCCCTTTGGAGGAGGGGGGGAGGAGGGGGAAGCGTCCATCCCTTCATTTCTCCTCTGGGGCCTTGGCTGGCTGCCTCGGAGTATGGGTAGTTGGGTGAGTGAGAATTCTCTGTGTGTGTGTGTGTAAACAAAAACCAAATGAACAAAAGCCCTGTTTTCAACTTGTTGCTTAGCCGTTGTGGAATTTTATACCACAGAAATTACATTGTCATGGATTACATCCAGCTTGTCAGAAAAGTTTTGTACGCTGACAACAATTGATCTGAGATATAGGACACAAAAGACACTAAAAGGGTTTTGATGGGGTGGCTTTATTTTGGTTCTACCTTAAAATACTAGGAGTCAGAGGAGATTAGACAATTTGTGTCAAATCCACCCTCGGTTGAAGATCAGAGTGATAAAAGCAAGCAAAGCTGTGATGAGGCAGAGTATTTCTTTCTTGAAGTTACACTGCATGTCTTCCCCAATGATTTCTTACATCCTTTTGGGACTACCCTGCACTCTGTAGGATAGTTGTACTGTGACAGTGGCAAAAGTAGTTGTCCCATTTGCTGGAACTGAAAATACTCTTGCGTTTGTACATCAGGGCTCAAGACTAAAGTTGTTTCAGTGACCAGCTTTGGCTGGTTTGAATATTTACTCGTATTATACTTCTATTGTGCAACAGTGAGACATTGTGTCTGTCAAACACTAGGTGCACTTGCTGCCTGAAAGAATGACACAGCCTTAGGAAATTGTGGGGAGATTAAGAAAGGAAGAAAAAAAGAGAGCCTGTTGGCTGGGAGGGCTAGCCTGAAATTTGTCAATGATGTCTTCAGTGGCTAAAGCTTGCTTATGAAAATTCCCTACTAAGCAAATGCTTCACTGATGAAAAACATGAGAGATGCCTCTGCCTGTCCTCTCCTACCATTCCTGCTGAAGGATTACTGAAGCTTTTTGCTTTTTAAATCTCACTTATGTTGCTGGAGCTTGAATTTGGCCTTCACAATTCTAAAATCCTCTTTGCTGTTGTTACTCTGTAACAAGGCAATAGTTTCTTCTGTGCTTCATTTTTTAGCGAGTGGGAATTCCCTGGTTGTGATCCCAGCTGGAACTGGTGCTATGCTTGGACGCTGCTGAAACCTGTCACGCTGGCGCGACGGTCCTTGGTGCGCTCAGAGCCGTGCTGGAACGAGGCAGGGAAAGCAGAGAACAAGAGTTGTTTTGTTATGGGTAACCCTGAACTACCCCGGGCTGGAAGTGGTGGAGTATCACACCATGCATTACAGATAAAAATGCTTGTACAGACATGAAGTATTTTTTATTTCCTGAAGGGAACTGCACTCTGGCTTCTGGTTTGGGTGCCTGGCACTGTTGCTGTATTGTTATTCCTCCTTGTCCCTAGGAAACCCATGGTGTTTCCTTGATGTAGCTTTCTGTGCTCTATTTTTGTACATTGCCCCTTGTGTTAGTTTTTTACCACTGACCTCAAATCTCTCCATTTCCCAGGTGCCCTCTGAGGGGGGGGAAAAGGAGCAGCTGGGCAGCTTCCTCTCCCTTGGCAGCACCGAGAGCACCTGGATCCTGCCTGGAGGCCTGTGGGGACTGACCCCCCTGGCCCAAGAAAGCTCCCTTCATCTTCTCTGCTCCACTAACAAGCAACAAACTTCACAGAAGGCACCAGGTATTGACATGAAGAAACTTCATGATTTGTATTCTCTTTTCAATTTATATGTTGGCTCCTCAGATACACTGACTAGCTATGTTTATAAGAATATAAACGGTTTCTGGGGGAAGGGAGGGGAACCTCTTAAGGAAATGAACAGCTTATACACATTTAGATTTCCAAGTAATTCTCTCCACTCAATTTCCATTTGGCCAGGTAAGTCATCACAGGTCCTCTCTTGTAAAGCCTGACAGTCTCATGTCCCTCAGTTCATAGACGCCAACTGTACTTCCAGAGCTGGGACACATTACCCCCCTCGAAGCTTTTGCTGTAGTTCAGATGGCTCCAGAGAAGCCTTTGCATGGCATACAAAGCTATGTTGTCACACTAATACAGCAGCCACTGAATATTTATGACTTCACAGCAATACATCTGCAGTATTTGTGGGAGTGTTTCTAACAGAAATGTGGGTTTTCCTCAGAGGACAGATAATTTCCTGAAAATGTTTAATTGACCCATTTACAATAGAATTTTAATTAGCTTAAAGCTAGACACGGGATACAAACTTGCAAGATTCTGTCATTATTTTTAAATCTCACCAGCGTCCTTTTGGCTTATTTTTACTTGTAATGGTTCTTGGCACAATAATTTGTTGAAAATGGGAAATCAGTATGACCCCCAAGGCTCATAAGTCTGAACATCAAATCCATTCCCCTCTTGAAATTTGGGTGTCACATTAGCATAGTGTTAAGGAGCAACATTTATTTATATTTAAGTTTCTGATTGTAAGTAGTTCCCAGTTTTCCTAATGAAAGTTTAAGTGCAAGCATCTCTTAGTATGTGCAAAGCAGAGATTGAACACTAGTGAGAGCTTGAGGGGAGGCTTGCTGTGAGCAATTCTGGTTCCTAAAGATGTCTGTGAATAACGCACAGCTAAGAGGTTCATAAAGATTAAGATCTCTGTGGAGGCAGTTTTGGCTAATAGCATGTTTACCTGCTTTTTAAAAAGGCTTGTGCAAAGCTCTGACAACTAAGGTGGGGGAAGTCTGTTTAAGCTCCTACTTATCTGCAAGTTAAAATATTCTCTTATACCCTCTGCAAGTTGCATATGAGATTTTTTTTCCTTTTCTGTGTAATAGGGCAAGTCATCTTGCATACTCCTATATCAGCATATGCTCACTTAAATTTTGGAGTATATCAGTGTGGAAATGCCAGACCATTATATGCATTAAGCATATTTATTTGTTTACTTTTGCAGTATAAATGCAGTAGAGATTCTTTTGGTTTTGGTTTGGATATCACTCACCTTAAGGAACTTATTGAACAAAACACAGTTTCCTTGTAAACTCAATTCTTGTAATCACTTTAATGCATTAGTAGATAAGTAGTACCGATTTACATAGTTTGACTTTAGAAATTAGCTTTACTTTGAGTATAATTGTTTAAGCTAGTGATGGAGTACAATTATTATTCCTAGGAAAGACAACTTTATATAGGAAATTTATAGAAATATGTTTTAACAAAAAGTAAAAACCACATTTTTTTTGTATTACACCGTCATAATCTTCGTAACTTTTCATTATCTTCCCCTTGTGGATAAATTCTACTTTTAAACAACTACCAAGCAGTGTGGAAAAACTGAAATGAGTTAAAAAATAATTAACCAAAGCACACAATACATCTTTTATATAAATCCTCAGCTGTCATCTTGAAAAACAATCGTCAAAGAAAAAATACAAAATTCAGTGCTGACTTTACAAGAAGTTTTAATTTGCTTTAGTGATACTGGGCTGCTTCTAGCCTTGGCCCAGGTGAGAGATTCCAAGGTGCTGAAAGCGCAGGGGCGATCTTGCAGCCACGTCGCCGCGGTGTGTGCGGGAGCCTGAGGCAGCTTGGAGACAAGGGGGAGTGCCAAGCAGAGCAAAGTGATGTGCAGCTGGCTGAAGAATCGCACTGTAAGAACCAATGAAAAATGCCCATTACTCAATTAGACTGGTCGGGGTTGTTTGGAGTAAGATCCAAAGACTGTATTTGTTGAAATGCGTACGAGGGAATCGGGACCTCAGTGCGCTCCTTCAGACCCACTGGTCTCCTCCCGCCTTGCGTAAGGAAAGTGGGATGACCTATGGGCAGGCATGAGCAGCATGGCTAAGAACCTGGCACCAGGGTTGGAGGCTTGACTGCGTGGAGAGTCAGAATATTAGCAACAGAAATGTAGTTTTTGAATGTTTTGTATGCAATTTTTTGGTAAATGATCAAACACTCAAAGCTCCCTGCAATTAGTCAGAAAAAAAATAGCAGTCTCTCTTCAGACACACCTTTTTTTTACAAGGAAGGTCCAGTCCTCCTAAGTGGTATATACATTCGGTGGTGTACACACTGTATTTCATCACTTTTAGAAAGAATACTGGAGTCTTTAAGAAAAAAACAAACAAACAAACAAACAAACAAAAAAAACCCACCCAACAAACCAAAACTTCATTGTGTTAGGTTAGTACTGGAAGCATAAATTGCAGGCATGTAGTTACTTTCTCAGAGAATTTTATAATTTCATCTTAAAAGCATGTTTTCCAGTGCATGTGGGTAAATGAATATTCCCCTTTCATCTCTGTTATTTTTGTGTTAATAAGATCTCCTTGAAAGCTGTGTAAAAAAGAGAAGAAAAAACCCCAGCCCCCAAACCGCCAAGTTTCTTTAATCTTGCCAGGGCCATCCTACTGAGTCAGAGCTGTGGCATGTGTGGCTCTGCATAAACTCTTTGCTTTTGGAATACTGGTATATTTAGTGCTATGATATTATAAAGCCTCTAAACCAATCTGAAGACAGAAAACAGCAAGAAAGCTCTGGAGAGGCCATACTTTGCTCAACAGGACCACCTCAGAGTTTGGTGTGGATAATTCGCAAACAAACAGAATTAATTGAATGTGCTGGGTAAGTTCTATTTTGCAAGTTATTCCACATCCAATTCAACTTTTCTCTCCTACATAACAATTTTTTAAAAGTGACAGAGATCACCTATTCTGATCCCAGGGGTAATTCCCCCCGCCCCCTGGCATGATTCATCTCACTTCAGCAATCTGAAATTTATAAGCAACTCGGCTGTTACCACGTTTTTCGTAATAGTTTTCTCCAGCTTCAAAGCTTTTAGCCATTTAGTGTAGGTGACTTCAGCGCCACTCAAGGAAACAGGGCTGTTAGGAAAGCCCATGTAGGAGTTGAGCTGCCTCTTACAGAAGGAGTGATAATTTTCCATTTTCAGGTCATGGCATAAGTAGTTTTTTGGGTATTATGAGAACTTTGGAGGAGGGGGGCCTGAACAAGTGATTTAAAGGATAAGCAGCAGCAGAGGAGGTACCTGTTGTTTATGGTGCGAGCACTCTACCCCCGTGAGCAGAGCAGTTGGCTCCAGAAATGAGACACGGAAACACAATTTTCACGAGGACCAACTGCCCTCTCCTTTACATGCGAAGTGTGGCAGAAAAGACCTCACTGAAGAATATCCATTCTCAGTGCTACAAAAACAATGCTACAACAGTAGAGCATGTTATTCCTCCCACTTGGAAAGGTTGGAGAGGCAAACTGAATCAAAATAACTTTGCTAAGACAGCCTTTAAAATTGTATTTGCCTTCAGGAATAAATTATTTTATCATTTTGTTACTGTGAACAAATATTAACCTATTTTATAATTCTAGTAATGCAAAATTACAAATACTACTGATATATAGAATGGTAAACTTGAATTTTGAAACTTTTGGGTCCTAAACTCATCTGAAGGAAAGGAAACTGAAGACAATCTAACTCTGACTTTTGGAGCTGTTCAGCACAGACTGTTCTTGCAGAGATCAACAAACTGAAGAAATTCAGTGCTGTTATAAATAACAGAAGGATTTTGCTTTCGCTAAAAGTAATTAAACAATTACTTTTATTGAGTTAGGCTAAAGCTGTTATTAAGTTAGTAGTGTTAAAATTATAACAGTTAAGCAAGCCTTTTTTGATCACAAATTAGGCATGTGGTTGCGCATTGTGGGGAGTTGGGCAAGCAACAGGATGGGGGGTGGTCTGTGGTTAGGTGTCATGGAAAGGGCTGGGGAAGAATGGAAGCTAGCCAAAAAAGAAGTGAAGAACTCCAGATGAAGAGGAACCTGGACTTCACTGCCCACCCACCCCCCCAACCCTCCCCGAGAGCAGTGGAAAAGTACTGAGAGAGACAGCCTTGGAGAAACAAAGAAAAAGGAACTGTGCAGGTGTAAAGAGGAGAAAACCTGCCATTTTTGCTTAACCAGTGAAATCTCCTGGTGGCTCTATAAAAAGAAGCCCCAGCTGGGTCGGGGCGCAGGCCGTTGTGCCCAGTGCTGTATTCTTTGCTCCACTGACTTTGTCCCCAAATAAAACTTTTTTTTTTTTTTATATATATGAGCTTGTTTCTCACAGTGCCTAAGAAAACCAAGGGATCTGAAATTTGTTAAAGATCTCAAGGAAGAGATTTGCACATTCATTAACAGAATGCAGACATCCTTGTTCTTGGCCTTAAACTTTCAGTGGTAATAGTCCTTCCATGCATAAGGAAGGTTGCATGTTTCCTTTATTTTCAGAGGAATTAACAAAATAAGAAATTTTCCAGGTGATTATTTCACTGTACCCTATTCTTAGAATGAATGCAAGATAAGTCATGAAGTCTACAACCTCAGCTGGTGATCTAAATTCAGTTCCAGGTAAGTTTGGTCTTGGCATGGATGTTAAAAACTGAGCTGATTTTAAAAAAAAACACAGAAAGCAACCACTACCATCCCCAAACCTAATGAATGCTCTAAAGCAGATTTATTTACTTTTACCTCCTAGCAGCAAGCCTGATGATCAAGTTGCACTTAAATGTAGACATGTAGTTTTAAAACTGCTGAGATGTACATGGAAGCACACAGGTAGCAAACAGTAATTAAAACCCCCAATTATTAAAGATATCATTAGATGCCCAAAACCAAGAAACTCACTAACACAAACATCAGAAAATTCTGCTGTTTGTGGAGACAGCATCATCACCTGCAAGCTTTCCAGCACTTAAACGACCACTGGTCTCTTGGTTAGTCAGCATTTCTGGAGACATCCTTGCATTTATACCTTTCAACTTTATTTTGGTATTGAATGTTTGATTCTGTATGTGTGATCAGTGTGTAGGACTACACTCTAATACAGCTTTTGGTTGCATAAGCTCAACTAGTTGCAACAACTAATGGGAACTCTCTTCAACTGCATCCACAAGTCGGGTAGGTGTGTGCTTGCAAATCTGCCCTGTAGTAACAAAGACAAAATAAGTTCTAGTATAAACCAGAATGTATGATGATTATGGTGTATCTGGTGAAATCAGGCCTCTGAGATGCCCTTCCAATCTACTGTTACGTACACGCCCTCTGATTGAAAGTACTTCCACAAGCATTAGTTTCCATGACAAATAATGTCTTTGTGTGTGTGTTCATATACATGCTCTTACCTCTGTTAATTAGGCATCTGTTCCTTGTCTGTTGGGTTCCTAGTTGGAAACTAAAAAGAAATAGATGTAATTAATAAATAGTAATGTATATCAATGATAAATTAGGCCAGTGCAGAATGTCTTTCAAAGATGAATAATTCACAAACACATACCTAGGATGAGTCACTTTCTATCTGTTTTATTTCAGATGTGATATACAACACATACCCCTGGGAACAGGGGAGCAAGAGACAGCCACAAAAATAGGCAGGCGTTGTGTGGGAGAATGACATGAGGTGGGTTTTGTACAAATCTTACTTCTACCATCATGGCTGGTTTTTACTGGTGGCAATTAGGAGAGGCTGAGGGGTACAGAGATATTCAGTTGTCTTGGTGAACTCCTCAGTCAACCGTTTCACTGTGGGCTTGCCTCATGAAACCTGATTTGGTGACAAATGGGCAGGAAACTGATTTTTGTTATGTTCTTTACTTTAAATTTGACATAATGTGAAGCTACAAAATACTTAAGAAACTGGAAATAAGCCAGTCTAAAGATGTGGCTTCACAAGTGCAGTGGACACTATTGTAAACTACCAACAAATAAGTATTTTCAAAACTAGAGGTCCTGATTGTTATGCATGATGTTGAAGTAATGAAGAAAAAAAAAATTATTTTCTATAACTTCCTCACTCTCCACACATACAAAAGCTTGCATGTGCTTCAGCATCCTGAGTTATTTCCACTTTGCTAACTGGGTTGAGTAAAGAAGTTTTAGTTTCCACGCATCCAAATGTCAAAATCAGGGTCTGTCATTGTTCATCTTCCTATTGACCTATCAGAGACAACAGAAATTGGTTAATGTGCTCAAAATTAATTACTGGGGTTTTTTATTTTTCAGGGAACACTACCTGTAAGATGTAGTGGCATCAACTGATGAATAAGCAATCTTAGCAACTTGGACTAAACCCAAGGTACTGATGAGGGTTGAGGAATGAAGCCAGGCATTTAGGATAGCAAACGTAATCAATAACCTGCCAGTTTGTGAAAGGTGCATAGTGCTCTTCTGAGTGCTTCTGGATGAAGCTGAGGAAAAGATTTGGTCTTTGGCAGCTGGCTGAGCAGACTTCATTAAACCAGACCTGCTTTACTGTCATAGACATCTACAAATCTGGAAATCAAAACCTGGAAGAAAAAATTCTGTGGAGGGATGCCTTTACTGCAGTGGATGACCTGGCTGTTTACAGTGCCTTACAGGAGTGGGTCAGGGTTAAACAGTCTATAGCAACAGAGAGAGTTGTCCAAGAAATTGTCCCCTTGGATATGAAGGCCACTTCCAGTGTAAGTACCTACTGATTTCAACAGCTAAGAAATAAACTGTTTCAGTTGAGTTCCCTGTGGAAAAAGCTTGTGAGCTTTCCACAGCAGGTGACCTGTCTTGCCAAGGAGCCCAAGATTGGAACAGATGCTAAGACTGAATTGTTCATTTGCCCCACAGGTATATTTGTCACTGGAGGACTACTAAGCATCTGACATGTTTCCCAAGACTTACCTTCATTTAAAACTATTATGTAAGTTTCTGGCATTGAAATAATGATAATTATGATGATGACAATAATAGTGTCAAGCTTAACACTTGCTTAATGCAGTATTGGTCTTCTGAAGTCCATCTGAGTTATACTTTGTCTTCTGTGCCCTCTATCTTGCTCATTACCTAGCAACGAAGCAGTGACACCTACTCATCAGTTCTTGCTGCTGTGCCAAGAGTGGAGAACAGAGTATCAGTTATTCCTGGTTTTGATGAGGAATCTTGCACTACACTAGCTGTATCCCTAAAGACCAAGTTCAAGGCTCTAGAGAGATTAGCTATGAGGGGATAACTAACTATAAGCAATTCAAACTATCTTATGTAGTTTCTGTGAGCTTGCACTTATTTTTATATGCTGGATGACTAAATCTGTGGGATGTGGCACATAAGGTGCCATAATGTAACTGCAATAGAAGGCAGATTCTGAAATCTCATTTTCAGAAACAGCTAAATGAGATTCACATAGGTAATTCAACTGTCCAAAGATTCAGAAAGCTATCATATAGGTTTTTTAAAAATTCCCACGTGCTACAAAGTATAGACATGTAATGCATGTGAAAGCTGCATTGTCTTTTAAGACTTTAAAGGAAACTTGTCTAGTCATCCTTACATAAGTGTTGTCTAAGCTGCTGCCATTCATTCAGTTAGTGGATATGCACAAACCGAAGACTCTCAAGCCTTAGGGGCAGAGGTAAGGAATCGGTTACCACAGCGTTAGCTGAGGTCTAACCAGGTGTGGATGCTCATGGCTTGTGGGAGCCCACAGCAGCAGCACGCGTCCACCTCCGTGCAAGAGCCCAGCACCCATCCACCTCACTGTGAGGAGCATTTGGTCATGTCTCCCAGGGGAGAGCTATGGCCGAGAACTTCCAATGCTGAGACATACCTCATCAGTTCAACTGTTTCAATTCTGTTGTTCTCTCCATTCTCCCTGTAGTATTTCACAGTCGGCAGGGCAGCTTTCCAAACAGTGTATAAGCCTTGCTTATAGATAAAGTTTCCCATAGGCAATAGGCTACTTCTAGTTTGGTCTATTGGTGGTGTCAGGAAAGATGCCAAGGAAAGCCTTAAAAAAATCGGCCAGTCAGATTTCAACATGGAGCTTCTGTCCCCAAATCATTATTTATCATTTTTATTTCCATGGAATTTTATTAAAGGTATTTTTTGCTGCTGTTGTTCTGTTGGCTAACATCTCACTTCCCTTCTTGGAAAAAAGGTAAGATATTATCAATATCTACAGGCAAGACCATGTGTATATTATATAGTAATAAGATAAGTCATTGTCTGTGCCTGTACTTTCAGCAAATGAACATTCTACATGCTTAGTCCTTATTTAGTTGTTCTTAAAATAGTTTTTTGTAGATATTTCATTCAAAGAGTGACAGAACTTTTTGCTTTGCAGTTGATTTTTTTTTTTTTTTTTTGGGGGGGGGACACACACACACGACGGTGTTATTCAGTCCTATATTAAACTGTTGCAAAATGAGACATGAACTTTGAGATAAGCATCAAATATTATAATGGAAGACTGAACTGAGTGCTACTCTCATTATTAACTTTCATTACAGTGGAAGCGAGACCAAACTTATCCAGAAACTAAAAATTATGTTCCATACTAATTTACAGGAGCTATTTTCTTTTCTCATTAAAATAAGATCAACTTCCTTTTCTAACAGGCTTCTGATATGATCTCTTTAAATCCTTAATTAAGTCTTCAAAAACCATCTCCAGAAACGACTATCCAAATCCTGATTTCAAACATGGAATCTGAAGAGAGAGCTCCATGTTTTTAAAGGTACAGATGGAGGGTCTGTATACAGCTGTAAAAAATAGAATTCATTAAACAAATCAGAATGCTAACATTAATACATACCGCTTTATTAAATGGCATGTGGAACAAAAAGTCTCTCAAATGAATGCTGTCAGGTCTGCTTCCCTTAGGAACTACGAAAGAGAAAAGAACATGATTGTCATTTTTTCTTTCAGGCAATTTATGTCTGGACTTAGGTATTGGGCTTCTGAGATCCTTCTTTACTCTTGCCATCAATATGCCTCCAGCTGTAAAGGGAGTTCCATCTTTTTATTTTCAAGAATTTAAATCTCTGATAAGAAAGTGTACTGGCCAAGACAGGGGCCTCCTTAATGATTCTTCCCATTGTATTTCTGCAGTACAAAGCTGCTGATTTATTTGCATATCACAGGATATAAGATAGTGTAACAGAGGGCAGAGAGGTTAAGATCAGAAGGGAACAGTGATCATTATCTGAGTTACTGGATAATGTCACAAAACTTACAATTCTGCTGTTGATGCTACATTTTTGCTGGTATCTCTGGAGAGAGAGGGCAGCTAGAGAGGTAGGACTGATGTGGCCCTGAAAAAAAACCCTCAAGACAAATACTTTCCAAAAATCACCTTCATGTCGTCCTGAGCTCTGCCTTGCCCATAGCAAACAGATGGTAGGAACAACTGCGGTGATCTCAGGCCCTCAGGCTCTGAGAGCCTTGTGAAGGCCTGCGGACTGAGCCTGTGCCCTTATCAACCAGGGAGGATATTATAGCCAAAATATAAATAGTCTGGACTGTAACTTTGCCACTGGGCCAGCAAGAATTTCCCTTAATTACAGTATCTCACAAGTCCACATAAATACAGCACTGTCTAATAGATTAATGAAAGCCGTACTGTGGATTACTTCTCCTCCTTTGCAGTAAGGAAATAACATATTTAGGTGATAATTTTAAATAGTGATATGGTACTAAGTTCAATGTGAAAAAGAAATACGAAGTTTCCCTTCCCAGAACAGGTATGTACTGAAGTTTATAGAGATTGTAGGCCTAAAGTCAATATCATCTAATACAATCATTTCATAACAACAAGAGAAAATAATTTGCAAGAAATGCAGGTGATTTATACTGCTGCAGATGACATTCAATCACAAAGGGAAAAAAGCATCTTAAATGACCAGTGGTACAGCTTTTATTAATGACTTGCAATACTAAACTACAGTAGCAGTGAAGAGTTCATCAACAATCTGCAAGTGCAAAGTGATAGCTGATTCACAAATAAAATATTGGAGTCATCAAGTAAATTGTTCTAAAGAAACCATCTACCCTAATTGTGATGAAGCAGTAGGAAATGGGCTACAGAAAAGCTGAGCCACAAAGACTCGGTAAATTTTCTGCCCCATTAATTCTTAGTGAGCTCATCTTTGGGATGAAATCTTGACCCTGCTGAAAGTCTGATTACACTAAAATAACTTAAATGTGGTCAGATACAGAAAATGCTCATTACAAATTCAATGCCCAATCCAAAAGTCTGCTTATGTTTTGGATCAGACCTCTGCAGTATAATTACAGTTCAAGGCTTCAATATTCTGAAAGGCAAAGAAAGTGCAACTTACCATTCAGATTTTCCTTTTCTAGCCTGTTTCCAGTAGTGGTGTCTCTAAGGTGGTGCACTTTTTCCTTTAAGTAAAAAACAAGCATAAAAGCAGCTGCAGAATTAAGTAACGGAAGTTTAGTGTAGAAATAATGAATAACTATAAAAAGCTGGATTCCTTAGCATTCTGAACAGCAAGCTTCTCTCTCCAGGAAAATAATTTTAAAAGACTGAAAAAATGTCTATGATGTGCTGTAAGTAGATGCTAATTTTAGCATTTATACCTAAGAATCTCAAGGAGTTTCTTCCCATCAGTGAGTTACACTGATTCTGGCACTAGATTAAAGCGGCTTGGGGGTTTATGTTTTTTATTTTGGACAAGCAATTTTTCCTCAAAAATCCCAGTGAAGACCAGACAACTACAGTGATAGCATGAAGTAAATTCACCACATTCATATTGGGGGTAACAGTGAAAGACTTTCCTACAGTACAAAACCAAAGACAAGTCACACACGGCAGGCTGGGTCCGAACCGCCACTCCAAAGTAGCTTTTCCCCTGAAGCGGTGAAAACAGGCCAAGTAAATCCTCCTTGAAATACAGGAATCTTATAGTCAACCAAGAAAAAAAAAGACGACTTACGACTTAGTGCTGCCATCTTTGCACAGATTAGATACCACCTTCCTCCACAAGCAACCCCCCTGACTGAGAGAGTAATACCAGCGACTCCCACCTGCGTGCTCGGCTGCAGGCCGGCGGGCAGGGGCACCCCCCGCAGCCTGGCACCGCTGCCGAGCGCCCAGTGCTGCGCTCCTAAACCGCCCGTGCACTTCTGCTGTTAAGTGCTCCACTGCGATGACAAAGCTCGTACTATTTTTTTCAGTAAATGGAAATACAGAGAGCATTTCATCTCTTCTTGTTGGCAGCATCTGATAGCTCTCCCACTCTGTAGAGTAGTAGACTAGCTTTGGTTTTCCTCTTTCTACTAAATGCACTTGAAGGACAAAAAGAAAATATTTTTGTTAATGCACAACCTCATATAAAATGAGGGCGTAACCTCTTCCTTCAGCTGTCTTGTTAAAGGTAATTAACAAACCCTCTCACCGTGCCTTTCTCCTTAGCTTCTAGCTTTGAAGCAGTTCTTTCAGTGACTCAGTGTGTGGGCTTTTGTAAATCCTGTTTTTGTGCATCTCAATTTACTCCATACATTGAATATAAAGGAGCTGAAGAACACTGCTAACAATTGTGAATTTCATTAATTAGGTTCAGCACTTTCAGATAGGCATAAAGCCTGATGTAAGTCAATATATATTAACAATGTACGCTGGATATAGTTAGGTTTCTGTTACCTGACAATGTTCGATAGCACATTTGGTTTGTTCAGCTATAGAAAGCTTGTGGTTTCATAAAAGATGCACAGACCTAAGCACTGTCTAGCAGTTTAGAACAAAAGTCTTAGAAGATGAACATATTTACCTTGGCATTTTAACCAAATGCAACAGCACCCAAAGTTAGGCAAAATAAATTCAGGAAGCCTCTCAAGTAATCAAACAACAAGTGGAAATGAGTATCTGGAAGATTCAGCACCATAAGCAAGTTCTCTGCGAGCTGACGGGCACATAAATCACAACTCTCATTTTTAACCTCACATGTAGGAGCCAAGAATTTGGTTTTGGAACTTCTGATCAAGATTCCTGTCAAGAAACATAAATTTTAGACTCATACCTGTTGAGTGGACTGGAGTCTCTGTTTTTCATTCTGCCACTGTTTAAATCTGTCAAGGGCTTCATCCACAGAAATTACTCTCTTTTTCACCTGTTCCTGCAAGTGAATGAGTTCCTCCTGTTCAGCAGGGATGTTGTATTTCACAATGTTATCAGTTACTATGTCAGTGTGGCCTCTGTGTGCTGCTCGACAATGTAGAAAGATAAAGGTAGAAAATATTACTAACCTATTTCATTCCTTTCTCTATGATGCAAGCACTTTTTTCAACAAAGGCATGTAAGCAGTGACGTTATAATCTGACATCAGTAAAAACACAGCATCTTTAGGGTGGCTCCCCCCTTCCCTTTTCTTCCTTTCTATTTGTTTTGGTTTTTTGTTTTGTATTTTTTTTTTTTTTCAATGAGAGAAATGCAACAAATCAATGAGAATTCTACCCTTACTCTCTGGCAGCAGAACAGCATGTTAAACATTTCATTTATTACTATTTCCCTGATCCATGGGTTCTCCATTAGTCAGTTCAAATAAGAATGTCCTTCTAGAGCTAAAGCTATAATATTGACAATTTAAAGGAGATTGTTGCTATGTTAAGATAAAAAAATATCCACAGTGCCTTTTCTTCCCTTCCTTCTCCAACTTCACACATTACATTTCTCAAAAGCTGGAGCTGAAATTTGGTCAGGAAGCATTTTGAAATTTCACATGATTTCTTTCCCTCAAATTTTTAAATACATTGCAGTGACAAGAAACCATTACTTCCTAGTCCTCCTAGAGATTACGATAAAGGTGCACAACTGAAGGGAAAAGACAGGGAGGTGTGTGTTACCAGAGTCACAGCTGTGTATCTCCAGGATACCAATACTGAAATGGCTGATCCAGAACACACGAGCAGCCATGAAGTGGGACTCTGCCAGCCCTGCATGAGGCTGTCGCAAAGGTGCCATAGAGCACCCATTTCACTGTACAGCGAATGCAGCCAGGACAAAAGTTTAAGTGCCAAGTACGATTTGTGTAGTTTTTTCTGCTGTTACGCACCAGTATCTTGATTCTAAGTGAGGAAAGACTGTGCAAAGGGAAATATACTACAGAAGTGAGAAAACAGCTACTGTGGCTTCTCCCACTCCCTCCTTTTAATCATACTAACACATATTAGGCATGAATCTCTACTCATTTGCATCTCAGATAATCTTTTCTATTTTGATGGAGTAATGATCCTAATGCCTTGCATTGGTAAGATTATTTGGACATCAGACCAGTTTAAGCAAAACTGCATTTTTTTGTATCAGCAAAAGGGGCGTGTGTGGATATTTCCTCAGACCCATAAGAACTACTCTGTTTTATCATAGAATCACAGAATAGTTTGGATTGGAAGCGACCTTTAAAGGTCATCTAGTCCAACCCCCTCTGCGATGGGCAGGGACACCTTACACCAGCCCAGGGTCCTCCCAGCCCCATCCAACCTGGCCTTGAACCCTTCCAGGGACAGGGCATCTACCACCTCTCTGGGCAACTGGTCCGGTGTCTCACCACCCTCACAGTAAAGAGTTTCTTCCTTATATCCGTCTAAATCCACCCTCTTTAAGTTTAAAACTGTTACCCCTTGTCCTATTGCTACAGGCCCTACTAAAAAGTCCCTCCCCAGCTTTCCTGTCGGCCCCCTTTAAGCACTGTAAGGCCGCTATAAGGTCTCCCTGGAGCCTTCTCCTCTCCAGGCTGAACAAGCCCAACTCTCTCAGCTGTTCTATATAGGAGAGGTGTTCCATCCCACCTGATCATCTTTGTGGCCTCCTCTGGACCCTCTCGATCAGGTCCATGTCCTTCTTATGTTGGGGGTCCCAGAGCTGGACCCAGCACTGCAGGTGGGGTCTCACCAGAGCAGAGTAGAGGGGGAGCATCCCCTCCTTCAACCTGCTGGCCACACTTCTCTTGATGCAGCCCAGGACAGGGGTGGCTTTCTGGGCTGTGAGCACACATTGCTGGCTCACATCCAGCTTTTCACCCACCAGTACCCCCAAGTCCTTTCCAGTAAGGCTGCTCTCCATCCCTTCATCCCCCAGCCTGCATTGATACTGGGGGTTGCCCTGACCCATGTGCAGGACCTTGCACTTGGCCTTGTTGAACCTCATGAGGTTCACACAGGCCCACTTCTCGAGCTTGTCCAGGTCCCTCTGGATGGCATCCCGTCCCTCAGATGTATCAACCACACCACTCAGCTTGGTGTCATCTGCAAACAACTCCCTGAGGGTACACTTAACCCTGCTATGCTGCTGACAAAGATATTAAACAGTACTGGTCCCAGTACAGACCCCTGAGGGACACCGCTCGTCACCGATCTCCATCTGGACACTGAGCAGTTGACCGCGACCCTCTGGATGGGGGTTCCTCCACTGAACAGTCCATCCATCAAATCCGTATGTCTCCAATTTAGAGAGAAGGATGTTGTGGGGGACTGTGTCACAGGCCTTACAGAGGTCCAGAGAGATGACAGCTGTAACCCTTCCCTACTCCACTGATGTAGTCACTCCATCAGAGAAGGCCACTAGGTTGGTTTGCAGAGGTATGCTACCAATATTCCAACATAATAAGATCTAGAAGGCCCTGTATTCTTTTCCTAAGTGGTTTAGCATTCATGAAAAGTAATGCCACTAGCACTGGAGACTGCAGTTCCCTGCTGCAGAAATAAATAGGCCACTACCTGCTGCTCTATATGCTTTAATCCTGACCTGCTACGTGTTAACAGAAGAGGGAGGAAGAATCTTCACTCAGTGTTCATTCATTTTGTACATAACTGTTAATTATTTTAGGGTACCATTAATGGAATTTATCGCAGCAACATTTTGACGTGCTGCAACTCAAATAACAACTAGACTGCCACAAGTAATTCATTCTACATGGATCTTGGGGTACCCAGGAGAGAACTGTTGCTCCCCACACTGCTGCCTTCCCATGGCTGGAATTAGTGCACAGCTGAGCCCTCCTGTCCTTCCTTTTCTTGGTTTTAATCAGAATGGAGAAAGGAAACAGAAAAGCGTAAAGTAATTCTGCCTCTACAAATCTTTCCCACAAGACTGTAACTTCTACTTTTCTTTCTTTAATCTGATCTCTTAATGCTGCAGCAATACCATTAAGGATATAAATCATGTGTGGGAAAATAGATGCTAAATCAGTCAAAATCAAGTCACAGCAAATCTCTACTAGTTCTACTGAAAAGCATCGAGGCAGTTAAGGAGCTAAATTAAATTCCATACCGGGCTTCCTGGCATCGCAGTACGTCCTGTTGTTGTCACTGGGCACTTGACTGGCCTTTTGCTGAAACACTACAACAAAATTAAGAATAGAAGGAAGTTGGTGGAAAATAGCAAAAAAATACATCACACATTCTAAACGAAGGAAGGAGGCTCGTGAAAGCAGGCTGGAATAAATTTCTTGTTCTAGCCTAGGAGTACTCAACCCACTTGTCAGTCTAACGGTCATTACTTGAAAAATTGTTCTGCTGCACAGAATGGCAGGGTTACTGATATTACAGACACCACGTCAAGAAGCTTCGAAGAAAATAAAATAGACTTATCACATTAACATATTACTTGTTTAGAAAAATCAGCTAGATCTTGGAGTTCTTCACATGGTACAGACACTTACTGTAACCTGTTTCTTATTTTATGGGGAAAGATAAGGCACAAAAAAGAATAGTATTAGGCGAGAATAATGACACTGCTTAAGAAAGAATATGTGTATATTTTTGTCTACTTTATTCACACACTAGGAACAGCAAAGTACAATCACTTACTCTGTTAGTGTAGCCCATCATCCCCATGCCTGTGAGGTGCCCAGAGTTCAGCCAGCCTGGATACACCCCGAAGTGCTGCAGTCAAACTTGTGCTGGAGGCCTATCTAAAACCCAGAAGGTGGAATTGTTTGGTTTCTGAACTTAGCCACTGCCATATAGGCTTTCCCTCTTCAGTCTCAGTTCTGATTTTAGCTCAACAATCCGATAATCTAAAATAATTCCTTCCCATTAAGTAATCTTTCTGACGTCACTGCAATGCAGCAGATGTGTCAGTTCAAGGGAGCAAATACTTGCTTGGGGACCACGGCCCGGCACGGGGGAGCTCTGCTCAGGGGGCAGAGCAGGCACGCTCCGCACGGTACCCGGAGTCCTGGCTTCTTGCTCCCACTGACCAGGGAAACCCCGTGCGCCTTGGTGGTTTGCTCCTGGTCAGCCTGCTCGGGCTGCCTTGTACGATGCTTCCACTTCTCCCCGGGAAACCTCTAAAACGGGTGATCAAGACCGCTGTGACATCCAAGCTCTGCACGTGCAACATGCAGAGGTGAGGAAGGAGCAATTCCTGAGGGTGTATTTTCTACACTGCAGAATAACGTCTTTACGCTAACTCCTGAGTAGGCTTGCATGGAAGGTGATGATGAATGAAAACAGCTGGGGACTTGATGTTCCTTAAAATGTTCTTAGGCTAAATGGAGAGAGGAACAGGCAGCACTATCTGCTGATGTTGTCTCCATAGCTTCAGCCTAACACTGATAGATTTTAACTTTTGTAATGCCCTTCTCTGTAATTCTCAAAGAATCCTGCTAAATATGGTTGCAGTGTTTTCTTCTATACTTGAAACAGTATTCTCTTTTTAAAGAAGAAATTAAAATAACCAGAACACATAAGTAATGCAGGCAGCCTGAATTTTACTGCATAAGGAGGGGAAGGGATATACTCAACAATGTCCCTGATTGGAAAGCACTTTAATTGATAGGCTTTGAAATTTCTGCTGAGTTTTGCAGTGTTCAAGTAATCAGAAATGGAATTACTCTTCCAGTTCAAAGTAAAATTGTTAAAACCACTTTACATGCCACATCTTGCTGAAATTATTTTAATTGGCAGCAAGTATTCAGTGTGGGTGAGGTCAATAAAAACAAATTCCCGTTTCTGGAATGTCTGGAAAGAGGTATGCACACACCACTGTACAACTGCCACAGGCTTAGGGAAGACACCATCAATTTACTCTTTTATTCTCACATTCTAATTATTTATGAACTGCTTGAATACAGTAGTGAAATGAAAGAAACGGGTAATCTTGCACGGGGATATATTCCATTATTTCTTATGGAAGATAAAGTGAATATTCCTTCAGTAAAGTAATATTAATATAGAAATTTTTTTAAATGTCAGAATGCCACAGCCCTTCGACTGAGGAAGGATATATGTTTTTATATTTTCAGAGCCTCTCTGCTATAGATAATCTGATTTAAAAGTTGCAGTATTTCTATTATGCTTTTTACTTAATGTGCACCCCTCAGTAATATCTTTATGATCTGAAAGAGAGTTCTTTTGAATTGTTAATTACATTGTGACTGGCTGAAGTACCCACAGATGCTTGTAGGTCAGAATCTACAAATTAAATGTCCTGACCCAATACATGCTATATAATTTTTGTCTATGACGTATCTCCTCTCTCAGTTTCTCAGAATTAAAGGCGACTGAGAGAACTAATAAGTAATTCCACTTTATTCCCTCTCCTCTCTTCAGTTGCTGCAGGACACGAAGTTCTTTGCATGCCCTCAATACATTTTGATGTCTTAGGTGGTAAGATCACTTTTTAGGAATGTAATGTAACCTCAGTATTTCCCCCGGAAAGCAAACTCAGAGAGTAAGAAACACTGCAATATTTTCTAGTAGGACATGAAACCAGAAAACAACATTTTAAAAGTATGACAAAGCACAAATTTTGTGGCAAATATGCAGAACTCTGGGAAAATTCATAACAGAAGTCTTGGAAACTGAGTGGGATCCAAGGAACTCTGAATTGCCCTTTTATCTCAATCAGATTAGCTACAGACATTGTTTCACACTGTCTGCATGGGCAGGTAAATAATGTTACGAAGCTTGAAATGTGGTTGAATATTTTCATGGTTATCACCACAAATAGAAGGGCTAGAAACATTTGAAATCTAAGTCTCTTGTGTATAGGTGTCTACCAAGAAGAGCATTTTATAGTCACCTACTCTGCAAAAAACTGTGATGAATATAAAGGGTCCAGAAAGAGAGAATGAATGTTTTTACAGTAGCTGCAGATTGACAAAAAGAACAGGAATTTGATTTTCAGAATTAATTAAGGTTCTAACACAAAGCCATAATGGTAAGGAATCATAGATGCACTATAACAATTCAAAAATTGCTTAGTGATAAGGCCAGTAAGAAGTGATATAATTAGCAACACAGGCAATCAAAACATGGAAAGAGTTACATTATGAGAGAAGATAACTTATATCAGTTAAGAGGCAATGATCAACCAAGATACGGTTTCTAATTTACTTTACCCATCTAAACTATGAGGGATGTTGCCTAATTTGCTGCATTAGAAAATTACCTCTAAAAAATCAAACAACAGTTTGTCACTATACACTAGTGATTTAACTAAAGCTAGATCCATGAACCTACCCTCTGGAAGAATATGTGAGCTAATCATACCTAATACTCATCTACTTACTCAACACTTTCAGCAGAACAAACACAGAACAGAAAAGACACAGTGAAAAAAAAATCAATAAATATCACTAATTTGAATTCAGTTTGCTTAGGGAAAATCAAAATGCATTTATTCATCAGCTTCGTTGAGCTGATGTTCCAAACAAAATTATTGCCATGACTGTTTTATTTAGGAAACATTCAAAATTAAAATCTAGGGGAACAAAATCTTTACAGAAACACAAGACTAAGTGATAATGCAAATTAATTAATACACTAGGGTTGCACTTATTAACACATTTCAACTCAGTTGCAAATTACAGTGAGTTTGTAAGCTTCCTCCTTGTTCTTAGTAGGTTTTTGCTTCATTCATTTTAGAATTGTCACACAACTTACGATTAATGGAAGAATGAAGAAGGAATGAATTGCTAGTAAGGGTATGTTGCAGAGAGAGAATCCTGTCTTTGCCCACTCCATTTTTTTTCCCCATTATTTAAACATTTTAACATTTAAACTGTGTGTGCATAGTACCTAGGCAAATAAAACTTGAAAGCTCTTTTTCTGGTAGGGATTAGATTGTAAATTAGATGTAGCACAGCAAGGGATGACAAATACACAGAGAATACTAAGGAAGGAATATAGTAGAATGATGCTTATTATTCAGGAGATGAGAACTCTGCAGATGTTTGTTCACATCTTTTTAGATCTCATTTTCCTTTTGTCTGTTTTGTTTGCTAACACACTGAGCATCACTCAGCATGAGGACTAGGTGAGGTCATCAATCCAATGCTAACCAATAGGTTTTATGAGAGATGATTAAGGACTACTCCTAAAATTTATACAAAATATTTCACATATTTAAGATTAAACCAAAAAATTCTAGTGATTCATAACATTAAATCAACTAAGGAAGCGGGACACTGTAAACAGTATAGACTTTTTTATTTTTCCAAGGCAACACACCTGAGCACAGAATAAAAATGTATCGGCACAGCTCGTGACTCTGGCCTAGTTAGGTCCAAGCTTTGTGGAGCAGGGATGGCTGGGCTGGGCTGGGCAAGGTGACAAAGGTTCCAGTGCCAGAAGCTGCCCTGTCATGGTAGCATCAGCGCCTGAATGAAGGCAAGGGGAAAAAGCCTGGGCAGTTTTAACTGTACTGGTGTGAGAAAACCAGTGACCACACCTAAACTGGTACAGAAGTTCTGATTTGTTCTAAGTATGCTGCCTGACACTGAAGACATTTATGAGAACACACAGCAGTCATTTCATCAGAATAAAGACTAGATGATGTCAAATGCACTTGCGAAAATATCAGACTGCCATGTTGCCCCATTATTTGCAGGGGCCCAATGCACGCTGCCTGAGTTTTTCAGCTACAGCATCACATCCACTCATCACAACTCACACAGACTGTTAACAGCCTCTGCCTTCCACAGCCACATAATTAAGTCAGCTGAGATTGAAAAAACCCAGTTTTCTTAGATCAAAAGTAAAATGACTTTAAAAAGAATCAAAGTGTAATGACAATGTGAAAACATTAACCCAAAAATAAACATCTGCTCACCAGCAAATCTCTTCCCAATTTGCAGTGAGATTCTGAGTCTGTCAAATATGAGCTCACGTCTGTTAGAATCCCAGCAACCTTGCTCATGGAGGGACCTCAGGAGCCTACACAGAGACAGCTCCCCTACACTGAGGCAAGATAATAAAAGTAATACAGGAACCCCTTCTGTAGGAAGGGGTAAAGAGTGAGTGAGAAGAATAGGTGGTCAGTTTAAGGCTGTGGTCAATGTACTTGTTGTACCACACAGAATGAAGAGAACTCTTCCACTGTTGCTGTTGTCA